TAGTAGTAGCAGTAGCAGTAGTAGTAGTAGTAGTAGTAATTAGTAGTAGTAGTAGTAGTAGTAGTAGTAGTAGTAGTAGTTAGTAGTTAGTAGTAGTAGTAGTAGTAGTAGTAGTAGTAGTAGTAGTAGTAGTAGTAGTAGTAGTTAGTAGTAGTTGTTAGTAGTAGTAGTAGTAGTCGTAGTAGTAGCTAGGCAGTAGGAGTAAGTAGTAGTAGTTGTTAGTAGTAGTAGTAGTCGTAGTAGTAGTTGTAGTAGGAGGAGGAGGAGGACGGAGGAGGAGGGGAGGAGGAGGAGGAGGAGGGAGGAAGGACGACGACGACGACGACGGCGACGACGACGACGATGACGACGACGACGAGAGGAGGAGGAGGAGGAGGGGAGGATGAGGAGGAGGAGGAGGAGGAGGGAGGATCGAGGAGGAGAGGAGGGATGAGGAGAAGAAGCTCTTGAGGAGCGAGGAGGAGGAGGAGGGGAGGGGAGGGAGGAGGCGGAGGAGGAGGAGGAGGATGAGAGTTGGAGGAGGAGGATTAGGAGTAGGAGAGGAGGGAGGAGGAGGAGGAGGAGGCGGGAGGGAGGAGGGAGGAGGGAGGAGGGAGGAGGGGAAAAGGAAGGAGGGAGGAAGGAAGGAGGAGGGCAGGAGGGAGGGAGGGAGGAGGGAGGAAGGTGTTGGGTGGAGGAGGGAGGAGGGAGGAGGGAGACAGGACGGAGGAGGGAGGAGCGAGGAGGGAGGAGGGAGGAGGGAGGCAGGAAGAGGGAGGAGGGAGGAGGGAGGAGGGAGGAGGGAGGAGGGTGGAGGAGCACCGTGGGCCATCTTCGTGCTTTCCGTCTTGGGCCCCTCCTGTCGCGCACGGGCTGTCTCTGGGCCGTCCTACGGCGTCTTGGGTCTCGAAGGGATGGCGCCATGGGGCCCTCCTGAGGCCTGGCCCCTCCCAGGGGCTCTGGGGCGGTGTAAGCCGGAGGTTTCGGCCCCCGTTCTTGCCGCTCTCTTCTTCCATTATGAGAGCTTCTCCTTCCATCTCTGACAAGAGTTTGGGTGCTTCTGATCTCTTCGGTTGCCCCGCGAGTCGACTCAGGTCCTTGGACTGTTCGTACCCGACTGCTTCGTTCCCACCCTGCCGTCACATGATTTCTTTCTCCTCGACCTAGTCCCCGCCCTCCTCCACCTGCTCCTCTTCTGCCCTGTCAGGAGGAAGATGCTGCGGCACAGCGTTGAGGCACTGTCTTGAGAAGACGAGAGTCCAATGCCAGATCACGCCGCCGGCTGGGACCAACGAGGGGATAGCCTCAGCAGATTTCCGAATCAATTGGGGGGTGGATCGCGCACCCCATGCAGGGGTCAATGGGCGGCGTCCCGCGGTGCTGCGTTTTTTTATTCTTCGGCTTCGGTGCGCGTGGGTGTGCGGGAACGCGCTGTCGGGCATGGTGGCATGGGTGGGTGCGCAAACATCACGGGGTATGTGGAAGATGATCTCCTCCTCCTCCTCCTCCTCCTCCTCCTCCTCCTCCTCCTCGTTCTTCGGCTGTGTGCACTCCTCCTCCTCGTTCTGCTTGGTCCCTTCCCCTAGGACCGACCCATACGCCCTTATTATTTGTTATGTCCGTAGCTCGTCGGACGTTGGGGTCCCATCACACGCGCGCCTACGGTGATGCTGGCGGAGAGTAGCAATGTGCAATCGTGCGCGTCGTCGGCCCGCAGCAGGAAGTCGCCGCCCACCAAAACACCACAACCCAACCCGAAGGCCTTCCAGCGGGGGGGGGGCGGGGAACGTTGAAAAACACGGATGAAGCCCGTCCCCCCCAACCCGAAATTCGGGCGAAATTTGTGTATTCGGGTTGGGTTGGGGTGGTCTGGTGGGTAGTCAGGAAGACTTGCGGTGCGATCAATGGAGAGGGAAGCGGTGCCTCGCAGCTACAGGGTGCCAGAAAGAGCTGCTCTATTGTCGTGTTGTTGAATTTGGGCTGGCTGCCCGATCGTGGTACGCACGGAGCAGCTTGAGCGTAGCTGTTACGAGCGTTGGACCAGGAGCGGTATTTTCATACGCTGCAGTGGCAGTATGCGTGAAGCGACGCGGAGCCCTACAAGGAGGTGGGATGTGTACCAAATGTAACGTTGTTCTGCAGTGGTGATTGCGTTTGCACAGTAGCGTTACTTGCAGCAACCGGTCGTAACGAATGTGTGATACATCGGTGTTACTTGTGCAGCGCCTTGCTCTGATGGCGCTTTCACAGTTCTGGGTGGCGCAGCGGCATTTATCCGCATCGCTCGCAGCGAGAGCACTGTAAGCAGGATCAGGACCAATGTGATGGTTGACGGATGCAGAACACGCCGAAGTGCAGGATGTATTGCAGGGAAGCTTAGTGTGAAAATCGCTGTGTCTAGGCTCAGGTGCATTGCATGCTGTCCTCACTCAGATATTGCAATGAAGAACTGAACATCACCCGCTCTCTGAGCGGGGCGCTGCGATAATTACAAGTCAATGCGGTCCGCCGGCTGTCTGCGTCTGCTCCCTCTCGGCCGCACGAAGGCATGAATCACGCTCGGCTCAGGCCCACGCCTTCTCCGCGGCCCTCCGTCAGCACGTCCATCACACATTTGTTCAGGCGTCAGTTCGGTGCACGTCACTCGCAGACGGCTATCCCCTACGAGTGCTCATCGCTCGGCCCCCTCACCCGCGTTCGCAGCCTCGTCTCTGCAGCACGCTGAAGTTTCGCCTTGCCCTGCGTTGCAGTTTTCGCTGCATGTGGAGTGTAAGGCTGCCCTTCGCTTTCAGTTGGTCCTCTGGGTGCCCTCGTGGTGCCCACCTCAAGAGTCGAGCACGGCCAACCAGTACACAGCCTGCTCGGGAAGCCCCCAGAATGCGGTCGTTGACCTCTTTTTGGGGGCATGGCTTCACCTCACCCAGCTTCCGCCAGGCTCCCCCCAGCCGCCGCTGTTCTGCTGCCACCGCCGGCATCCCCTGGCCCTCATCCAGCTTCTGCCGAGGGGGTGAGGCCAACCCTCCGCTCCCTCCTGGGTTCTCAGACGCCGTGTTTTTTTTCGCGACGTGAGCCCTGTAGCTCTCGACCACATCGCCGGTATTGCTTTTGCGCAGGTTTTTTTTGCGTGCCCAGGGGCCTATGTACGCCCCCCCCACCCCCAGAAATCGAAGTTGTGGAACAGGGCTTGGTTCGTTCAGCGAACCACTCTGCCCGCGCGCGCCTCCTCTGCTGCTGTTGAGGAGTAGGATGGAGGAGAAGGGGGGAGGAGGATGAGGATGAGGAGGAGGAGGAGGAGAACCAGTGGAAGGCCAAGAGTCTTCAACGATGTTGGAATTAGCCCTCCCTCCAAGCTCCCTCTTCACAGGCCCCACGACGATTCATTTCCATTGAGGGAACTGCCTCGTTGGAAGACAACAGTTTGAAGATCCTGAAGCGTGCCAAAACATTGTTCTCGGGATTTCAACGCCACGTATCAACCTGAGTGCTGGATCTTGACGATCCAGAGTCGTACCAGAACGCCGTTTTTGGGACTTCAATACAGCGAATCAACATAACTGTTGCGCCCGCATAATCCTGAATCCTTCCAGAACACCATTCCTGGTACGCTGATCATGGGAATCCGTCACACTCTTGCAAATGTTAAGAATGAATGTACGCGGCACTAGGGCGATAACCACTTTTTGAAAAGACACCGCCCTCGATCCGTGAAACTCTTTGATATTTTCAAAACGAATGTGCGCGGCGCTAAGGCGAGAACCACATTTTGAAAACCACCCGCCCTCAATCCGTGAACTTCTTGCAAATGGAATGTGTGCGGTGCTGAGGCGAGAGCCACATTTTGAAAACGACCCGCCCTTAATTCGTGAAACTCTTGCACATGTTGAACAACGAATGTGAGCGGCGCTAAGGCGAGAGCCACGTTTTGAAAACGGCCCGCCCTCACTCCGTGAAACTCTTGTTTTTTGACAATCAGTGTGCGCGGCGCTAAGGCGAGAGCCACATTTTGAAAACCACCCGCCCTCCATCTGTGAAGCTGTTCTCACTTTTTCAGCTTCAGAGTCATAAGTGGTGGGGAAGTCTCAGGCGAAACGCCCAGCCCGCCCTAAATATTGGCCTCGTGGTGCCACAGGGAGGAGTTATACATATGTATGTGTGTATATATATAAGGAGAAGGAATGGAGGAGGAGAAGGAGGAGGAAGAGGAGGAGGAGGAGAACGAGGAGGAGGAGGAGGAGCAGGAGGTGGAGGAAGAGGAGGAGGAGGACGAGGAGGAGGAGTAGGAGTAGGAGTAGGAGTCAAGCTAGCCAGCTCGAGCGAGTCAAGCATGGCATGCCCAGTCCCACCCGCCCTCCCACAACATAAGAAGCAAAGCTGGCACAACTGGGGGCCGAAGTCACACCGGCCAGCCGGTTTGGTACAGCTGATGCGGCCGCGATGGCGGTTGCCGACGGGAACTGGCGAGCGCGTGTTGAATGCCGCGCACGCATTGCCAGACGAGTCGAGAATGGCCCGGTACACCGCAGGAAGCCAGAGGTGGCCGTGTCGAGAACGGCCCGGTAAGCCGGGTCCCATTCCTGCCATGCATTTTGCGACGTGGACGACAGGACGTCCATGCGACGGTGCCAATGACGGCGACGACTCTAGAAGGATTTGAGCATGCGCTCGCGGCGACGCGCGCGCATGTCGCCCGCGTGGTATTTTTTGCACAGGATTCGCGGCCTGGGTGCATGACAGAGCATCGCGAGTGCACCGCGCGATGACGTGAAATCGCTGGATTTGACCGAATTCTTAAGATTCCTATGGTTTTCCTATGATTTCAGCAAGAGAGCCCGGGCGGGAAATTTGTACAATTTTTGTGAAAAAGCATTGGGTTTTTGATGTTTTTATGTTGAAATGCTTGCAAACACACGGTGTTCGGTAGGATTCTGACATGAACGCGCGCGTGTGCTCTTTGTGGTATTTTTTGCAATGGATTATCGCCGTGGACGACAGGACGTCCATGTCGAGAGGAAAAAATAAGAAACATGTTGATTTTGTATTGTTTTTTACAGGTTAGGATGGGACCACCCGGATGCGGCCCCTATCTGCCGGCCTGAGGGGGGAGTAGGAGTATATTCTAATAAGGAATAAGGATTAGGAGGAGGAGGAGGTGGAGGAGGAGAGGAGGAGGAGGAAGGAGGAGGAGAGAGGAGGAGGAGGAGCAGGAAGAGGGGGAGGGGAGGAGGAGGAGGAGGAGGAGGAGGAAGGAGGAGGGGAGGAGGAGGTTGGAGGAGGAGGAGGAGGCGGAGGAGGAGGATGGAGGAGGAGGAGGAGGAGGAGGGGGAGGGAGAGGGAGGAGAAGGTGGGGAGGAGAAGGAGGAGGAGGAGGAGCAGGAGGAGGAGGGGGAGGAGGAGGAGGAGGAGAAGGAGGAGGAAGAGGAGGAGGAGTAGGAAGAAAGTCATCCCGGCTCCAAGTAGCCCAGGGTTCATGCGCCGTGCCCCACCTTGGGCCTGACACAGTTTCCGCAGTCCGACCTACGGCTGAGCGTCCAGCCATCCTCAGCGAGCTGTCCCGCGACGACGCCGCGAGGGGTCTGGACGAGGGCGCGCGCAACCTCCGGCGCGCACAGGTGGTCGCTTCGGCCCCGAGCTGGCATGTCGCAAGAGAGCAGGAGCCGAGCGGTGGCGGGCTCGACTTCTCGTCTCCGTGCTGCAGGCAAAGGGCCTCTCCTCGAGGCTCACCACAGCGCCAAGGAGGTGGCACACGGAGGTGCCGCGAGTGTGATCAGCAGAACCCCGTTACCAAGTGGGTTTGCGACTGTGGCAACAAGTGGATCCTCAGAACTGACCGGGTACGTCGGAGTGCCAGTCGACGTAGGGACCAGAAGGACTCGAGCGACATCAGGGAACTGATTCAGAAAAGCCCAGTCGCCACCACGACCAACACCTCCGTCTGGAAGTACCCGCCGCTCGACGCGGAGGAGTTGAAGAAATACAGGTCCCTTACGCAGTCTAAGCTGCAGAAGTTCTCTAATCTGCTCGTGACCACCAGAGAAGCAGGTAAGGAGGACCTGTTGCTTGAGTTGGGCATCGGTGTCTGGACGTACATGATGAGTGCCAGCAGAGACTCAGAGAAGCAGCTGAACGAGTTGCTGGCCCCGTTCGCCGGCGCCAAGGAGAGGCTCGCCGGGGTGCCGGCCGAGTGTGGAGGAGATCCTGGACACGGAGGCGGCGCTGAACCTCCCAGGTGGGGAAGCTGCATCACTCCTTCCAGCAGCTCGCCGCCACCGAGGGTGCTGTCGTGGCTGAAGATTGGCTCATGGCCTCGCCTGCGTCGGAGGCTCTCGGGGTTCAAGCTTCGGGCACGAGCCACCCCCCGTGGGCTGAGGCAGCGGCCGTACGAGCAGCTGTCGGGGAGGTGGTGGCAGCAGCAGCAGCAGCAGCAGCAGCAGCAGCAGCAGCAGCAGCAGCAGCCGCTTCGAAGGCTCAGGCAAATGCAGCGCGGGCTTCGCCGCCAACCCCGCCTGCTCAGACGCTTCGCCCCTCCCCCCCCCCTTCGAAGGCTGTGCTCGAGGCTGCTCACGAGGCCCGCGCGGCAGCCGCAGCTTGCCGAGCAGCCTTCTTTGGCACCGTCTCAGCAAACGGCAGCGGTAGTCGTAACTAGCACAGAGGTGCCCAGCCCGATCTCGCCATAGCCAGCCGTGCAGACTTGGCAGGTGCTCTGAACAGGTGAAGTCTATGCTCGACACCCAGCTCGCTGTACACGACCGGCTGACGAAGACAATTAATATTGAGCTGGGTGCTGGCGAGAAGGCGATGATTTGATGTTGGCCCGCATCCGGCGCAACAAGGGACATTGTGCGGAGTCCGCTCAATGCCCGTCTTTCCTGTTCTCATTGCGGGGCCTAGCGCGGCTGCGGGGGCTGCTGCAGCCGAGGGGCCCTCTTGGGGCGCTTCATGGCCGTCTTGGAGGCCATCTTGGGCGTCATGGAGCCCTTTTGGGCCGTTTTGGGCCTCCCTCCGGGCCGTCTTGGGGGTCTCTTCGGCCCTCCTGGGGCCATCTTGCCTCTTGGGCGCTCTGAAGGTGATCTTGGAGGCCTGCCCGCCTCGGCCTTTAGAATATCGTACAGTGTGATCATCGCGCACGATGAGCCCCCCGTCCCCCCAGTTTGGACGTTTCTCCTCTGTCCCAGTGTCCTAGCACGAAGTGCGTGGTGCTTCTGAGGGGCGCACCGTTGTGCCGAAGGTGACTTGCAGGATTGCCTGGGGCGCTCCAGTCTGATAGCTGAGGAGGAGGAGGAGGAGGAGGAGGAAGAGGAGGAAGAGGAGGAGGAGGAGGAGGAAGAGGAGGAGGAGGAGGAGGAGGAGGAGGAGGAGGAGGAGGAGGAGGAGGGGGAGGAGGAGGAGGAGGAGGAGGAGGAGGAGGAGGAGGAGGGGGTGGAGGAGGAGGAGGAGGAGGAGGAGGAGGAGGAGGAGGAGGAGGAGGAGGAGAGAGGAGGAAAAGACAGCGAAGGTCAAGCGACTCTGGTCAACGAGCTGTCCTTCCCACGCATCTGCCCCCTCAGTCTTCGATTCGTGGTTCGTCACGGTTATGGCGTGGAGCGGGCAGGGGGCAGTTCCTGAAGGTAGAGCATAATATCTTTTGGCAAGGAGAATCTATGTTGTGCAATTCACTTTTACTGTCTTGAAGCTGTCCTCTCTACTGCTCGTGCAAATATCCCACCCTCCCACCCGCAACTTGGTCGCAAGACTTCATAAGACCGTGACGGTGGGTACCAAATGGCACTTGGCAACGACAGCGACGCCGATGACGACAGCGACAACGACGACGCCGACGACGACTACGACGACACCGACGACGTCTCCGACGACTTCGACTACGACGACAACGACGACTTCGACGACGACGACGACGGCGACACCGACGACGATGACGATGATGACGCCGACGACGACGGCGACGACGCCGACGACGAGGACGAGGACGACGACAACGCCGACGACGACGACGAAGACGACGAAGACGACGACGACGTCGCCAACGAAGACGACGCCGACGACGAGGGAGGAGGGAAGACGACGACGGCGACAACGACAACGACGAGGGAGGAGGGAGGACGGCGACGACCTGAACGACGAAGAAGGAGGGAGGACGGCGGCGCCGACGACGACAACGACGAGGGAGGAGGGAAGGACGCCGACGACGACGACGACAACGGCGACAAAATAGGAGGGACGACGACGAGACGCCGACAGCGGACGACGGCGACGACGAGGGAGGAGGAAGGACGACCACGGCGACAACGACGACGGAAACGACGACGACGCCAAAGAGGACGACGACGACGACGAGGAAAGACAGAGGACGGCGACGGCGACGACGACGAGGGAGGAGGGAGGAAGGCAACGACGCCGACGACGACGCAAGAGCGCGCGCGCACGCTTTTGTTGAAAATCCGTGTTGCGAAACCTCGTGTTTTTGTATGTTTTTGGGCACTCGATTTTGCAATCCTTCCGAAACCGAAGGTTTTTGATGGATTTCGGCATGCGCGCGCGACGACGCGCGCGCGTGCACTTCGTCCCAGTTTTTTTGCAGAGGATTCTCGCGACGGCACGCGCGCAATGGCGTTCGAACGATTTCGACATGCGCGCGCGGGAAGCCCACTTGGTAGTATTTCTTGAAAATCTCGAAAAACCTATGGTCGTCTTAAGACTTTGCAGGAGCGCGCGCGTAAGCTTTTTTAGAACATCAGCGTTGCGGAACCCTGCGTTTTTGTATGTTTTTTGGAAACTCGATTCTGAAATCCCTCCGAAATCGAAGGTTTTTGAAGGATTTCGGTATGCGCGCGCGACGACGTGCGCGTGTGCACCTCGTCCCAGTTTTTTGGCAAAGGATTCTTGAAAACTTTCGATTTTCGTCAAGCGAGTGTGCGCGCGTAGTTTTTTTTGCGCAGGATGGCGGGGGGGAGTGATACCGGTTTGGCTGGGATGGAATGAATTCACATTTAGGATGGACGAGAGGGCAGAAGCATATGTAGATTGCAATACGAAAAGGTGGATCGTTGATTCCGGGGGGGGGTGTCGAGTCTAATTTTTTTCGTCGAAAGGAGAATCTAGGGCGGCGACGAGGCGGCGACGGGGCGGCGACGGCGGCCACATAGCCGCCAGATCGACAGACAGGCCAAGACGACGGGCGGCGACGACGTGGCGACGGGGCGGCGACGGCCGTCACATGGCCGTCAGACCGACAGACAGGCGCAGTTCCTTAGAAATGAAGTCTGAACCTCTGAGTGCAAGCACCGCTTTGGGAATTTATCCTGCCAAATGTGCGGCGCAGATAAAGACAGGCAACCACACATACACTCTCTGTAGCGAGGAACCAGGGGAATGACAAGAACGAGAGTACCAGTGTTGAGAGCAAGCGGCGAAAACATATGAGCTTCAGGGAGGCGCAGGCGATTCGGATGATGAGAAGATGGAGGATGAGAAGATGGAGGGGGCGGAAGAGAGAGGGGAGGGGTGTGGCAAGGAAGATTCGCTCACTCCCGCATCCTTGCCTGTTCAAGCGTCGCGCCTCGAGTCCCGAGAAGGTGACGCCGAGACCACTCGAGGAGGCTCCAGCTACTTTCGCGACGTATCGCCAGCGGGCATGCGCAGCCTCCTTGTCGTCGTCGTCCTCCTCCTCCTCCTCCTCCTTCTCCTTCTCCTTCTCCTCCTCCTCCTCCTCCTCCTTGCCAGGCTGCGGCAGAGAGAATCCCCTTCCCATCAGTTGGGATGCAGGCGATCGTCACGCACCGACATGTGGTGCGTACGCTGCCATCGCATGGGCCCCTGGAGGCGCCCGGCTACGGCGGTACCACCCAGGAGTCGCATCCTCTCTCCCCGCCGACAACGACGGCGACGACGGGCTCGGCGATGACGACGACGATGCCCCGCCGCGCTGCCCGAGGTCCGTGTGGGTCCTGGCGCTGCTCTCACTGCCGCCCATGGCGGCGCCCCGGCGGATGATGCGCAGCCGTCGGACCGCTGGCGAAGGTTTCGCCCCCCTTTCCCCCTCTCCCCCCCCCACCCCCCCCCGGCTCCCAACGCTTTTCCCCCCCCCCCCCCACCTCCCCTGCCCCCGCTCCCCCGCCAACCCCCCCGCCGTCCTTGGCTCCTGACGTCGTCGGGCTGCAGCGTCGTCGTCGTCGTCGTCGTCGTCGTCGTCGTCGTCGTCGTCGTCGTAGTGTTGGAGGCCGTCGTGACCGTCGTGGTCGTAGTGGTGGTCGTCGTCGCCGTCTCTCTCTCTCTCTCTGTCTCTCTCTGTCTCTCTCTCTCTCTCTTTTTTTTCGAGCTCCTCGGCGCCGACCCTCGCCCTTTTGACCTCTACGGAGCCTTCGGCGGCAGCACAACCGGCATCGGGCTCGGCCGTGTTGGAGGCGGAGCCGGCGGCTGCTCCGGTCTCGGAGGCTTCTTTGATGGGGGTGTCCTTGGCGGCATCTTCGGGAAGAACAACAACCGGTAGACAGGCCAAATATGGCCAAAAAAGTTCGACCGTGGGACATTTTCGCGCGCAAAATGTGCACGCGGCGGCGAAAGATCTGCGCGCGTTCTGTGAACGCGGCGGAACGCAGTAACTCAGGGCGGACCGGGAAAAAAGTAGCGGCCCGCCGTGAAAAAATTAAGACGGAGACTCTTGACTGTACTGACTTCCGGGCGCACAAAGTCCGCAGACGCGCGCGGATTCGATTCCGCAAACCCGTCCGCGGGGGTTTCGGGTGCACAACGTCCGCAGACGCAGGCGGATTTGATTCCGCAAACCTCGGAGGAGGAGGAGGAGTAGGAGGAGGAGGATGAGGAGGACGAGGAGGAGGAGGACGAGGAGGAGGAATGGAAGAGGACCAGTGTAAACCCAAGACTCATCAACGACATTTGAATCGACCCTCCAAGTTCCCTCTTCGTTGGCTTCTACAAGGGTTCATTTTCACTCAGGGAAGTTTCCTTTTGAAAGACAACCGCGAATCACCGTTAATGGTGCGTCCTGACGATCCTGAACCGTGCCAGAGCACCATTCGTGGGACTCCACCGCGAATCAACGTAACTGTTGTGCCCGCCCTGACAGTGCGACATCGTGCCAAAACATTATTGGAGAGGCCTTGCGGCCGGTGCTGCCGACCCTGAACGACGACGACGACGACGACGACGATGCTGACGTGGGTCAGAGTCCTCAGGGGTACTTCTTGGGGTCTCTTCGGAGCGCTCTCGGGTGCCTCGGGGGTTAATTTTGGGGCCTCTTGGGCGCTTCTTGGTGGCCTGTTGGGAGGCTCCTGGGGGCCTCTTGGGGCTTCCCTGGCAAATCTTGGGGATGTCTTGGGGGCTTCTTGGCGCTTCCTGGGGGCCTCTCAGGCCGAGGGCTCGAAATGTCCGTTCGGGTCCCCCGTCTGGGCACTCTTAGAGCAGTCTTTGGGTCTTGGGCTATGTTGGAGGCCTCTTGGGCCGCCTTGGGGCCCTCTTAGGTCGTTTTGGGGCCCTCTCGGAGTCCTCAGGCGATCTTGGGGGCTTGCTGGGCCGTCTTGGAGTGTCGGGAAGCCGAAAAGGCGAGAATCCCCAAATCTATAAAACAAATTTATGGAAAACCAATCATTTTTGCATCTGCTGGCCCTCTTGGGAGTGCTCTTGGAGGCCTCTTGGGGCGTCTTGGGAACCTCTTGGGGCCACTGTGGCGTCTTGGACCGACAGTTCGGCGATTCGGGGCCCTCTTGGACCGTCTTGGAGGCCTCTTGGGGCAGTCTTCGTTCGTCCAGGGGGTTTTTGGCTTTGGACCCCCCTGGGGGAAGGGGGGGGCATTCTGACCCGGGACCCCCCCCTCTGGGTCTTCCCCGGGACCCCTCCCTGGGACACCCCCCCGCGGCGGGGAAGGGATGAATGGAAGGGGCTTATGGCGACGGCGACGACGACGATGATGACGATGACGACGACGACGACGAGGAGACGACGAATGGAACAGCGATGAATGAAAGAGCATCTTCCACACGCCGACAGAGTCGACGAGTTTTTCTGGGACGTTGGCCATACGAATCCTTGAAACTGCTGCGACCTCTTACAACGATTGTGTGCGGCGCTAAGGCGAGAGCCATATGTTGAAAAGGAGCCGCCCTCCATCCGTGAAGCTCTGGCAATTATGTGAGACGAACATGCGCGGCGCTAAGGCGAGAGGCACATTTTGAAACCGGCTCGCCCTCCATCCGAGAAACCCTTGCAGTTTATGAGCACGAAAGTGCGCTGCGCTGCTGCGGGAGCCACATAGTGAAAGCGGCCAGCCCTCCACCCCTGAAACTTTGACGAACTCTCAGCTTGAGGACCGTAAATGGTGATGAAATCTTAGGCGGAGCGCCTGGCCCGCCCTACCGGCACGCCTCGGGGTGAGACAGGGAGGAGTTATTTCGGCGGGCCGTGGGCCCTGCGATCCAAGACCTTTGGAGGACCCACGTGCTCTTCCTTCGAAACAAGGACAGAAACAAGGCTGAGCTCTCTTTCTCCCTCTCTCTCCTCTCTCCCTTTCTTTCCCTCTCTCTCTCTCTCCCTCTCTATCTCTCTCTCTCTATTCCTCTCTTTCTTCCTCTCTTCCCCTCCCCCCATCTCTCTCTCTGTCCCTCTCTCTGTCTCTCTCTCTCTCTCTCTTCCTCTCCGTACTTCTCTTCCCCCCCATCTCTCTCTCTCTGTCTCCCTCTCTCTCCCTGTCTCTCTCTCCCTGCCCCTCTCTCTCTGTCTCTCGCACTGCAGTCGTGGGGGCAGCGCCGCCCCGCAGCTCCCCGCGCGGCTTCCCAGGACAGCCACAGGAGGCCTGCGGCCTCCCCCGGCGGCGCCGGGAGGCCCCCCCTTCCCGGGCCCCCCGGCGGCCCTGGGAGGCGCCCCCGGGCGGCCACTGGAGCCCCCCGCCCCCTCCGCCCCCAGGAGGCACCCGGGACCGGGCCCCAGGAGCTTCCCAGAGGAGGCCCCTTCTGGGCGGCCTCTCGGGTGGCCTCCCCACGAGGGCCCGCGCGCAAGCGGGCGCGCGCGCCCCGAGCAGCCCCGGTGGCGTTCCCGGCAGCCCCGTGTCCCCCCAGAAATACAACAACGCAGTCGTCAGCGAGGGCGCGTAGTACGTACCCTGCCTTATTTTCGCAGGCTCTCGTCTGCAGTGATTTGTCTTCGCGGCAGGGGTGCAATTTGAGAATCCATGGGCAGACAGGCGCGCAAATGGCTGGTCACTGACCCAAGGCAGATCCTCTGGGCTGCTATGGTATTGCTCTGGGCGATGCAGGTTCGCGGCCCTGATAGCCGGCGCACCTCCAGGGCGGCCCAGCAGGGCTGCAGTGCAAGGATGGGGCCCGCCGACCCTTTCGCCCCTTGCTTGCACCGCGTCGCTTGCACTGGCGGCGAGCGCTGCTTTTGTCGCCCGTTGCCCCGCTGCGCTTGTCGCCCTGTCCCGCCCCGTGCGTGCCCCTAGAAGCCCAGCGCGGCTTCAGAGGGCGAGCGCGGCGGCGGGCGCCGTTGTAGCTGCGCCCCGGGGCGACCTGGGGCCGCAGCAGCTGTAGCGGCCCATCTGCCCCAGAGCACGCCTATGGCAGCAAGATGGGTAGTTCGTCGTCCTCCGTGTCGTCGCAAGATGGACGTCGTCGTCGTCGTCGTCGTCGTCGTCGGCGTCGGCGTCGTCGTCGTCGTCGTCGTCGTCGTCGTCATCGTCGTCGTTGTAGCCGTCGCCGTCGTCGGCGTTGTCTCCGATCTATTTCCCCTTGTCGCTCTTGTGGGGGGCACAAGCGAATTCTATGTGTTTCGCCCCCCCCCCCCCCCCCTCTCCCCCCCCCCTCCCCCCCTTGTGCTGCCACGTGACGAGTCGAACAATCGGTTTCCGCTCCATGCGTTGCCACGTGGCGAGTAGTGGAGAATGGTTCTTATTTTTCGCTCTTCAGGCATTGTCACCTGGCCAATAGGGCAGAACTATTTAATGTTGCTTCCCTGCGTTGTCACTTGACGAATATGACACTGTATGTGTCTGGTATCTTCGCATGGCCACGCAGCGTTAGCAGTACATCACCATGTTTTCGCCTTTCCAGGCGTTGCCACGTGAAGTGTAGAACAGGATGCACATTGTTTTTGCCCACGTGCGTTGCCACGCGGAGTCGAGTACAGTAGGACCCACCCCTCTCTTGACGATTCTTGGGGGTTCTCCAGATTTATTGAGTGAGGACTCTTAAGGATTCCGAAGCTTGCTGTCGGGCGGTCGGGCTCAAACAACAGTAACACATGCAAGGTCAAGTGCTGTACTGGGACGGGGCTGGAGTTTCGGGATATGGTCACAATACATGGAAACAGAAAGCAGGCTGCCAGTGCGTATCCGTGTGATGAGTCGAGCACAGCACAGCGTGTTTGTTCGCCCGCTCCTGCGTTGCCACGGGACGGGTAACATCGAATATAGTTTGCTTCCCGCCCCCAGTTGTGACACCTGGGGAGAACAATGGGACAGTACTGTGTTCGCTCCACCAGGCGCTGCCCTGTGACGAACAATGTACATTCATGTTGTGTTCCGCCTGTCGGTCTGTTACATGGTGGAGTTACTAAGATCGTGCTGTTTTTGTTCCCCCCGCTCATTGTTGCGTGACGAGTGGAGAAGGATGGCGTCGCTTCGGGCTGGAGCCTCCTGGGAGCGACGAGAGGGGGGAGGAGATGGGCTTCCTGCTGGGGAGGTCCGAGGGGTGGTGGTGGTAGCTTGCAGGGGGTGCAGGGGGAAGGAAGGGGGGGTGGCGTCTGGGAAGCAAACAGGGGGGGGGGCGGGGGGCGGAATGGGGGAGTAGCTTCCGAAGGGCGAATACCAGGGCGAGGGGGCTCGGCTCCCGGCCGGGGAAGCTAGATGCTGCCCGGGGTAGCCTGAATGGGGGCCGCAGGGAAAAGGGGCGGGGCGGGGGGGGGGCTCTGGGATGGAGGGGCCAAAGGAGGGGCAGCTTCCGTGATGTGGGGGGGGGGCAACTGGGCGGCGAGAAGCGGGGGTAGGGGGGGGAGGGCTTCTGGCTGGGGAAGTCAAGCGGGGGGAAGGGTAGCTAAGGCGCCCCCCCCACTTGGCTCGAGCCCTGCTGGCGCGTTCTCTCATGTCAGCGAGTTGCACATTCACGTTGGGCGGGTTGTAGAGTCAAGATCAGTTGTAGGGCAGAACAGGCAAGCGACGAGGTTTCATGTACATTGGACGTCGCTCGCATGCTTCACCCTCCCACATAATATTCGTATTCCTTTTCCTGTGTGCTCGTGGGGGTCTGGTTTGAGAGGTCCTACAGCGTGGTCTGTGGCTACAGCGTCAATGCATGGTGTCCCCGAGGGACCGCTTCGCACTGCTCTAGCGCAGGCTGCTGGCGGGACGAAGCTAGACCTTGCTTAACCCTCCACCAAATCGTTGCAGAGACCCTGCCCACAACCCGTGCACTTATACTGAGGATGCCGCTCGTCTGCAATTGGGGAGAGGACTCTGGAACAGGAGGGTGTGCCGTGGCCGTGAGGGAGGAGGAGGAAGAGGAGGAGGAGGAGGAGGAGGAGAAGGAGGAGGAGCATGAGGAGGAGGAGGAGGGAGGATGGGGAAGGGGGATGAGGAGGATGAGGAGGAGGAGGAGAAGCAGGAGGAGGAGGATAAGGAGGGCTGGGCATCAGACGCGGAGGCGTCGAAGGAGCAGGAGGGGGAGGACGAAGATAGTTAGTGGAGTGGAGGGGAGGGGGGCGCCAACGCCTGATAGTATGCCATAGCGTCCTAGACGACCTATTCCTGCAGGTGTCCTGTCTCTTTCCCAATTTCTGTGTCATGCTGTCTTAGTTACGTGGCATGCCGCAGCTTGACAGGGCGCAGACAAGCAAGGACATGGTATGGTCGGCCCCGAGTGCATGCCTCGGCGCGTAACCTCCTGGTCCGCCGTGCCACAGCAGCGCTACCTTACATTCCGTTGCCCCGCCTTCGTTCCCGTGTACGACTGTGTTGCGAAGGTTGCGGCTGGCATTTTTCATTTCAGAATACCACATTTGTTTTAAGTGGATGTGCATGGCTTCCGAATTTGACATGATGGGCGACGAGAGGCTGTGCAAGCTCAATGCCATCGGAAACAGTTGCTTTTCAGATATTGTGCGCAACGATCCCGTCTTCGTCAAACGTGCAGCCGACCCGAGAACACAGGCGATCATGCCATGTTACACGTCCATTTCCACTGTATGTTGCATTTTCGATTCGCGAATTATGCTCCCGTTTTCAAGCATGCGCATGTACCTCCTTTTTGCTATTGGCCTGTGGCCTTTTCGCTCAAGCTGTTTTTGTTCGACGACTGGCCCATATACTTGAGTTCTGGAGCCTGGAGTGGGCTGCAGACGGCATCTACCGTTGTCTCGAGCGCCATCACTTGGATCTCGCCCCTTGCTCACCAGGCCAAGCATTGTGTGCTGGCCGACCGGGCTGCCCTGATCAGTGCCGTGTCAGTGAGATGGCCGCCTACGAGGTGTTCATCAGGCGGGCGCAGATAGCGGAATGGATATGCCGCGATCGGTTCGCGCCCCGCGGGCCCGACGAGACACTCGAGGAGCACAAGTACACATTGCTCATTTCTAAATCTTCGAATGTTCTTTGATTTTTTGGGGAGCCAAGATCCTTTCATCTCTAATTGCTCCATCCTGGGCCTCTTCCTGGCCACTATGGGGCCAGGGACCAGTAGAAACGAGCACAATTAGAAGTGAGCACGATTAGACATGAACGACGTGTACTTCCACAAGGGGCACGGGCGAGATGCGCGGGCTCGTCGCGGGGGCGCCGTCGCTCGTGGAACACACATCTCCAGCGAGCCGCACCGGCAGAGAGCGCCGCCGTGCATGGGAAGCGCAAGCTTCTCGGGAGGAGCACCAGCCTCCCCGAGGCGGAGGAGGCGCCAGGCCCAGCAGCAGGAGCGGTGACTCTCAGAGGAGGAAAAGGTACCCACACCTCTACCCTTGCTTCGTTTTCCCCTCTATGGGCTTCCTGGGCGGCCCTCGTCGCCACCGCTGGATTTGCCTCGAAATCCTTGTCAGAACGCACCCCGGGAGAGATCCAGGGAGTAGCGGTATCGGTACCTTGTGCTCTCCCCAGGCTCGAAAGAGGCCTTGCAGAATAATCCATCAGTGGAGCGTGAAGACGCTGGTGGCCATCCTGGCAAAGAGGGCGGCCGCGGCGGCGGCGGCCGCGGCGGCAATGGGCCCAGGAGATTCCAGTGCCTCGGGAACTGCTATCGGTACCGATCCTGGGGCCTGTCGGCGGTGAGGGGCGGCCCTCTTGCTGCCGGACGGAGCGTTCTCGAGCGCGTCGCCGTTCGTTCGTCGACTCCCTGGACGGACAAAGGTTTCAGGGCGCTGACTTGCCCCTGCGGACGCAGCAGCGGGTGCCGAGACGACCTCGGGTCGCTCAGCCGTGGACGAAGCTCCGGCTGCGACCGGGCGCCAGCCGCCCCTCCGCGCGAGCCCCGGCCCGGGCCGCGAGTGCCCCGGTTGGCGCAGAGCTGCTGCGGGGGTTGCGGTGCCATGTCGGAGGGGGCGGGTGGTGGCCTTTTTGGCGTGCCCGAGGCCGGGTGGCCTGCTCTCGCGAGCGGCTCCGTCCATCTGCCGGGAGCCTGGCTCCGGGGGCCGGGGGCGCTGCCTCGTGGGGACTCGCTGGTTCTCGGGTGCCGTCGTCGACTCGGCCGCCGTCTGCTGTGGTGCTCTCGGATGGCGCGCTTCTGGTGTTCGCTGGCGGGGGTGGTCGATCCTCGGTCCCTGCCGCGAATGCTGTGCTCCGACACCCTGCTGCCGCGCGTCCGCTCGTCGACGTCGATGCATGTTTGTCCGATGGGCCCCTCCGGAGCCGAGACCCGCTGATCGGCCCGCGCGACTGCGCGGGGGCACAGTCAGAGACGTCCGCGGTGATTTTCGTGGCCTGACTAGGCACGGGGCTCCTGGCTGGGATCTCCCGCCACCTGGGGTCGGGGGCATGACGGGGAGTCGCCTTGGCAGGCCGCTGTTGAATCCCTTGTTGGGGAGGGGGCCCGATCTGCACCCGCAGAGGCTGCCGTCGGGCTTGGCGACAGCTGGGCCAGCGGATTGGGCCAGGGGCTCCGCCGCCGCCCTTTTCCACCTGGGCTCGGAGGGCGACGAGGGCAGCAGGCACTCGAGCAGCTCCGGCAGCGCTCGCCGCGGCACTTCGACCTGGCACGACCGCTGCGCGAACTGGCCCAGGAGTGACCGGAGGCGGTGGTGAACGCCGACGGAGGTGGGCGCGCAGCTGAGCGCGGCTCCTGGTCACCTCTTCTTCGAGTGCCACGGGCAGGACTAGGCTTAAAACGGGCATGTCCCTCTACAGGAGGAATGTTGATCATTTTTGCTTTCTCTACTACTTTCTACTACCTTTGATATCTTTTTGACAATTTTTATTTTTTCCTCCTAATTTCGCCTGTAGGAGGACATGCCCGACCTAAGACTTAGGGAAGCGAGGTGATCGCGGCCGTGGAGCACCAAAACCCGCGTCTGGACCTGGGCGGCGGGCCCCCGGGGAACGCTGGCGGCCGTAGAGGGCTGCCGCGAGATCGCCCCCCGGCGCGCACCGGTGGCCACTCGCTCGGGAAGGGCGCTTGCGACCGTGGGCCCGGCGATGCTGGAGCGACCGAGTTCGGGGCGGCCGCGGCGCATTCCTGGGGCGCGGCCCTTCGCGTTCCCATGCCGCCCCGCTTCTTCGCCCCCCCCCCTCGGCCCTGGAGCGTCCACGGGAGCATGGGCCTCCTCCTCTGCCCACGGGAGCCGGCGGAGCTGCAGCAAGGGCCAGGCGTTCGACGAGGGCGCGCTGCCGTCGGAGGACACCTCGCAAGCGCTCGGGCCGTGCCTGCGAGAGACGCGCGGCCGCCCAGAGGCGGGGGGGAGTTCGGAGTTCGACCTCCTCCTCCTCCTCCTCCTCCTCCTCCTCCTCTTCCCTCCTCTTCCCTCCTCCTCCTCCTCCTCCTCCTCCTCCTCCTCCTCCTCCTCCTCCTCCTCCTCCTCCTCCTCTTCCCTCCTCCTCTTCCCTCCTCCTCCTCCTCCTCCTCGTCCTCCTCCTCCACCTGCTCCTCCTCCTCTAATCCTCTTCAGGAAATGCGCCGACCGGCTCCCGACGATGGACGGCTCTCATCCGTAACTATCGTGTCCGCAACGACTCGGCCGGCTCCGGCGCGGCCGCCGGCGGCGCGCGCCTGCCTTGGGGCAGGCGCGCGGGCGCGCGCTTGCGTCGCGCCTGCGTCGCGCGAGCACCAAGCGGCGCGGCTGGTCGGCTCGGTGCCTCGTCGAGGCGGCGAGGGTGCCTCGTCGCGCCTCCGCTCCTTCGGGGGGCGCGTCTGCTTTTGAACCTCCGCGGGCTGCCCCTGGGAAGCGCGCGCCGTCGGTGCGCCGTTGCCGCCGCCCCGGGAGCCACTGGCGAGCAGACGGCCGAGCGGAGACACGCTCTTTGGGGAACGAAGAGTGACATAGACACGACAACTCGGATGTCCGCGCGGATTTCTCGGATCGGCGCTGGACTCCCCTCCCTGGCGCGCGGAGCGCGCCAGGGGCGGCGCCCGAGGCGCCGCCAGCGGTGTCCAGCGCGGATCCGAGAAGTCCGCGCGGACCCCCGCGTTTTTTTGTGCTTATGCCCCTGTTTGTGTGTTCCTCAGCTTTGGGGCTCACGTCGCAGGGGTCTCGCCGCCCCTCAGCAGCGCAGCGTCCGCCAGGCCTGCGTGCCGGCTTCTGGAGAGCCGCCGGGGAGCCCGAGGCCTGCTCCACCTCTTCTGCTGGCGGGGGGCCCCGCCGGATAGTCCGTGCTCCGCCGCGGCTCGGGCGTCGGGGCGTGCCTCGAGCGACTGTCGGCGGGGGATCCGTCGATGTAGTGTCAAGTCGGGCATGTCCCTCTACAGAAGGAATATTCAAAGATAGTCAAAACATAGTCTGGGGACGTTTTTTTTGTTTTTTGTTGGGGGGGGGGGTATTTTTTGACCGTTTCGCATTGCTTATCCAAAATGCGCTTGTAGGAGGACGTGCCCGACCTAACCGAGCTGTTGCTCGGCTGGGTCGGGAGAGGGTCGTCCGCGGCGCGTGGGCCGCGCCTCCGTGCAGTGCTTAGTCCGTGGCGAGCTGCAATTTTTCTCGCAGTAGTTGCCACATTTATCTTCGCAGGGATTTCAAGGCAGAAGCCATGGAAAAGATCATGATCGCTGGCGTTTTTGCGAAGCATATCCAGGATATATTCCGTGCGTCTCGTCTCAGTACCCTGCCCGTTGGTCTTGAACACCGTGCCACCAGCATGACGTGGCGCAAGCTTGTCTTCGGGCACCTCTCCTGGCCCCCTCTCATCCGCCGATTTCCCGCTGGTGGGGCTGGCCGCGCCGGCGCTTTGAGGTGAGAACTCTTCCGTCTCTGAGTGGCCTTTCCTTCTCCTCAGCCCCCGCGGCCGCCCGCTCTGTCCTCTTCCCACTCTTGCATGCTGGCCAATTCGCTTTTCGGTGCCCCCGTCTAGCTTCAGCGCTGGTGCAGCCAACTCTGCCTCGCCGCCGATTTCTCTACCCGCGGGGCCCGCTGGAGGCAGCGAGCGAGGCTGCCTGTTTGGCTCTGCGGGTGTGCCCCTGCGCGCCTCTGTCGTACGCGTCCTGGCCCCAAGTAGTCTTGTTGCAGCTTCTCAGGGCGTCCATGCGTCAGCCTCGATGGGAAAGCCACGTGTGGCCACAATTGGATCGCTCCCGCCGAAGTGTACCCCCCTTTTGTCGTTCGTTATATTTTTTTGTGGCTTTGTCGGGCGTCCGACCGCTCTAGACCCGCCCGACGAAATACGTGGTGTCTGTAACCTTCCTGTTATCTCATGTGTATGTGATGGCCCGAGGCCCATGCGCCTGAGTGTTCTTGTGTTTTGTCAATGCCTTGTTGTTGTTTTCGCGTGCTGTCCCAGCCTCACGTTCGCCTCACTGAAATTAGACATCTTTGGCTATCCAGAGACGTGCGTCCGTGATTCACACATGTTTGACAGTCTCTATCTTGCCGTTGGTTCGTGGCCATTGCGCTTAAGTTCCTCCCCTTCCCTTGCATTTCCATTTCGCAGTCAGCCCGTGGAGTCTTCAGCTGACTTGTTTTTCATTAACCCCTGCCCCCGATGATAAAGTATACCCCCCCGTAACCTCCTGATTTGATTAATCCCATGTCAATCGGATTTAATTGTGGAGAGGGGCGGCGAGGCCGAACTTGATAGTCCCCGGGGGAAGTTGCGACTCGAAGTTGCTATCATCTTATGTTGACTAGCAACAGCATCAAAAACGCTGAGCATGGCAATGGTGGACTCACCATTGCAGCTACCGCAATCACGAGCGTGTGGCAAGGCTGTGGGATTCTCACCATGTCAGTTTTCCCAGTTCACGAACGTGTGGCAGGGCCATGGGATTCTCACTTTCTCAACCGTTCCCGAGTCAGTAACGTGTGGCAGGGCCATGGGGACCGATAGGATTTTGAAGTTGCGTGTGCGTTTTTCGAGCAGGCAGAGCATTGGAGTTACTTTTTTACTGCATCCCTCACTCGGTTCGTGGCTCCTCCTCCTCCTCCTCCCCCTCCTCCTCCTCCTCCTCCTCCTCCTCCTCCTCCTCCTCCTCTGCTCCTCCTCCTCCCCCCCGCAACTGCCCGGGCTCGAGCTTCCGAGATTCCACGCTTTCGAGCCTCTTCGAGGCACTGAGCCTCTTCGCCCCAGGGGCAGCGATAGGGGGGATGCAATTACAAGATTTGCGCCGATATCTACAAGGTCAGTCAGTCCACACGAGCGCCCATACTCGAGATCTGTCGAGTCAGTTTGGCGCCAAGATCTACAAGGTCAGTCTACGCGAGCGCCCAGGATCATCCTCATCCTCATCCTCATCCTCATCCTCATCCTCATCCTCATCCTCATCCTCATCATCATCATCATCATCATCATCATCATCATCATCATCATCATCATCATCATCATTTTCCGCTGGGAAAATCGTCGATTATCCCCGCCAGGCCCCGAACTTTGTTATGCCCCGGGGATTATTATCAGTGGCGGGGGGTTATTTCGTTCCTTCGGGCCCCTTCGAAAATATGCCTTTCAGTGCTCTGCGTTTGGGTTGCTTGGCCAGTATGCTGCCAGTGTGTTCGCGTGATATTCCAGCCTCCCGCTCGTTTCGCACAGACATGAATCATCTCTGGATTCTCGGAGGAAAACCGTGTATATGGGAACAACTCGTTTGTTTCCGTTCAATGAATTTTTGTCTTGGAGCGTTCTGGGGTCGCCCGGCCGGTGCTGGGGGGCATTGTGGTGGTAAGAACGAATGCCGCCCGAGGGGCCCGCGCGTCGAGACACTGGCAACATGCTGAGGTGGTTCGGTCCGTTCCGCATGAGACATCCTCACGAGTCGGCGTTCCAAGACGACCAGATTTGACATGGTCTGGCCCGTTTCGCTTGAGACATCCTCGCAAACCTGGGCCCCCAGACGCTACGCGAGAGAGGTGGTCTGGCCCATATCGCCTGAGGCATCATCAGAACTTTTGGATTCGGGGATTCCGTAACCTGACTGCCTTGTTCTATTCGTTTGAGAAATCATCGCTGCGCTAGGCTTCAAAGTGCCGCCCGCGAAGTGACCCTGTCTGTTTCGACTGGGACGTCCCTGCAGTTATGGGCAAAAAGATGCCGCGCCCGAGGGGTCCAGCCAGTTTCGCACGACACGTCCCCGCAGTTCCGAGCAACCGTTGAGGAGTGCGAAGCGAAGGGTGAGGGGGAGGAGGAGGAGTAGCAGGATGATTGAGGACGAGGGGGAGGAACGATAATGCTCGTATTGCTGTCAGACAAATACTCTTGTGGTCAATGTTCTCGGGGCATTTATCGTCGCCAGGGCTGGACGAGGCTCGATCGCGCCTGGTGATGCGGGCTGGTGCTCTGCCGACGAAGGGCGTGTCACTGGCCCGTTCGCGCCCAGATTGTGAGGATGTCTCGAACGGTCCGTTAGTTTTACGGGGTGGAGGTGCGTTTCGGAGCCGTATGGTCCCCGCTGGCGACTTCGGTTGGCTTTTGGGGCTGTTTGGGCCCCATCCAGGGCTTGCCTTGGCTGGCGAGGGGGACTGTGCACCTGAGCCCTGGTGCCCGGGTCGCCTGGGACAGATTTGGGCGACCCCAGCAACCCCAACGGCGGTGCCGGGGAGGTGCTGGCGAGGGGTTGCCCAGAGCTGGGTGCGCCCCATTGCCTACAGAGAGCCATCCTCACAACATCGGGCTCCAAGATGCCCTGACTAGATGTCCTCAGGCTCGTCTCGCGTGACACGTCCTCACAAGTCTGGATTCCAAAACGTGGTTCGCAAGGTACTCAGGCCGATTTTGCCTCAGACATCCTCGGAACCACAGGCTTCGAGATGCTCTGAATTGAGGTCCTCTGGCCCGTTTTGCTTGAGACGTCCTCACCACTGGGGTCCAAGATGTGGTTCGCGAAGTACTCAGGCACGTTTTGCCTGAGACATCCTCGGTATTCTGGCCTGAGACGTCTTCGCAACTCTGGGTTGAAGATGCGGTTCACGAGGTGCTCAGGCCCGTCTCGCTGGAGACATCATCGCAACCCCCGCTTCGGGGATGCCCTGACTTGAGATGCTCAGTCCCGTTTCACTTGTGATATCCTCATTACGTTGTTCGCCTGAGGCATCCTCAGAACCCCGGGCTTCGAGATGCCTTGAATTGACGTGCTCTGGCCCGTTTAGCCTGAGACATCCTCACAACTCTAGGTTCCAAGATTTGGTTCGCGAGGTACTAGGGCACGTTTCGCCTGAGACATCCTCGGAATCCGCGGCTCTGACCGTTCGGCCTGAGACGTCCTCGCAACTCTGGCTTGAGATGCACGAGTTGCTCAGGCTCGTATCGCTTGAGACATCCTCGGAACCTCGGGCTCCGAGGTGCCCTGACTTGAGCTTCTCTAGCCCGCTCGGCTTGAGACATCCTCGCAAATCACACCTCTGGGTTTGCGGTTCGCGAGGTGCTCTGGCCCGTCTCGCTCGAGACATCCTCACAACTCTGGGTTCCATCGCGAGGTACTCAGGCCTGTTTTGCATCAGACATCCTCCGAACCCTGGGCTACTGCGAGATGCCCTTAATTGAGGTGCTCTGGCCCGTTTCGCTTGAGACGTCCACACAATCGAGTTCCAAGACGTGGTCCGCGAGGTGCTCAGGTCCGTTTCGCTTGAGATATCCTCGGAATCCCTGGCTCCGAGATGCCCTGACTTGACGTGACCCGGGTGTAAGTGCGCCGTGCTTGAAGGCGCCATTGACGGGGTGGTTGCTTGGGTTGCCCCCAGTGCCGGGGGAAGTTGGAGACCAATAGGAAGTGACAGAACAAAAGAGAAATCGTCATATACACTGCATATACGCACATACATTACTATCGTGCATTGACAGTCATGCTGCAAGACCGAGCCATGTGCACCATTGGGTAAGCATGTAGTTCTACAAGTGTTTCACCATCGTGCCGTTCCTCTAAGTCATTCTTCGCCATGCCTCAAGAGGGTCCAGCAGGAGTCCCCCCGCTTGTGCGAGGGAACGATATGGAGCGACGGCGAGGAGGAGTGAAGGGAGACCCTTGCGGCGTGGAGCTCCTTGCGGCGTCGGATCCCTTCTGCAGGCAGCAAAGTGGAGCGCTGGAGCAGATTCGCTCGATCCACCCGGCCTGACCTTCCACATGGACATGGAGTGTGCTGAGCTGGAGGCTGCCGTGCCGCGGCGAGGGGCCGATTCCATGGGTTTTGCTTTGGGTCCTCGCCATCGCAATCGGAAAAATGTCCTCGGAGCCTGTAGTGCGTTCTCGGGACCTACGCAGGTTCCAGGCGAACTCCAGATTTGCGTGGGCGGAGCCCAGTAAAGGTCCAGAAGAGGCCGAGGCGAGGTCCATATCGAAACCTTAACAGATGCCATCGCGCCGGCTTGACCTCGGTCAGGCGCTCTCTCGGATTTCTGGAAGGCGGGAAATATCGGAGGAGCAGGAGGAGGAGGAGGAGCAAGGAGGAGGAGGAGGAGGAGGAGGAGGAGGAGGAGGAGGAGGAGGAGGAGGAGGAGGAGGAGGAGGAGGAGGAGGAGGAGAGACAATCATGAGCAGGCGAGACATGGCAATTTCTTGCACCATGTTCATAGGGAAGCTATACGTGCGGGTCGAGTGCACACCATCTGCATTTCAGCCGAGTAGAATGCAGTCCGTTAATGGAGTTGCCTCCGGGCAGCACGTGTTTCCCATGCGTCCCCATTTGATCGACTCTACGTCGAGCATGTGTTGGTTCGAGTTTGGGCCAGCACCGCTGCGCGCAGTAGACGTTGTGGCGATGGTGGGGCTCGTGAGGAGCTGAGGGGGGTAGTCAATGCCACCACACGCCGCGGCATGAGCGAGGCGTTATGCTCAGCAGTCCACGCAACTCACGGCCTCAGCGGGCTGGGCGAGCCTCATGGGTTATGTCGGACAGCCAGGCGCGGAAGGTGGGGAGGGAAAGAGGTAGGGATGGAGGGATGGAGGGATGGAGGGATGGAGGGATG